AAACCAGCACCGTACCCTCTTCCTCCAGGATTTGGTGGGAACAGGGCTCCGAGTCAGAGCTGCTGGGTTCTATTAGCAGGACCGTTCCTGTCTCCTCGTTAGCTGGGGCTAACCCTTGATGGCCCAAGGCCCACAGCGAGCGAGGCCCAGGGCTTTTTTCCCCTGTCGTTACTGGGAAAACACAGAGGGTGGGTGGACACAGAGCTCTGACTACTGCGTTTGTCCCGCAGGTCTCTGGAGGAGTCAGTGGGGAAGCCTCTCTACCTAATATTTAGGTATGTCTGTTCTGAAATTTTCAAATAGTCTAATTAGGGCTTTCTCGTTCACTTCCTGACCACCGCCGCGGGGGAACCCTGTGGGTCTAATTCTGCCACGCTCCCGCTTACCCCAGGGCTGATCCCAGAAGGGTTTATTGCTTCGTTCTGGCTATGTTGTGTTTTGTTTAGTAGAAAGATTTAAAATACAGGAAAATCGGGGCTCATTTCCTCATTTATGGAAGTTTGGGATCCCTGGGTAACCGAGGTTTGCTCGGTCCTGAGCCCTTCATCGCTGCACGTCCCCCCGTCCTCTGCCAGAGGGATGAGAGAGGTGGCTCCTGTCTCCAGCCCGGAGAGCGGGTGGCCAGGACCTCCTGGTGCTGGGAGCCGGGTTTCCCTGCGAGCTGCCGCTCCTCGTCGTTAGCAGAGAAGCTCCCGCGCGGCATCCCGCGTAACGCAGCCGTCTCCCCGTCCTGTGCTCCCCAAGGAACCTCTGCCAGATGCAGGAGGATAACAGCGGTTTCTCGCTGCTGCTGGATCTCCTGTCAGAGCTCTATCAGAAGCAACCCAAGATCGGCTACCACCTCCTCTACTATTTAAAAGCCAGGTAGGGGGATTGCAGGGAAGCGTCCCAAGCTTCGACGTGGCTCGCGCTGCCTCCCGAGAGACAGCTCGGTGTCGTACCGCCGCCCCAGCCCTCGCCGCGGCAGGGGGGCTGGCGGGCTCCGCTCTCACCTGCCCATCTCTCCCTTCTAGCAAAGCTGCGGCGGGGAAGATGAACCTGTACGAGTCCTTCGCCCAGGCCACGCAGCTGGGGGACCTGCACACGTGTCTGATGATGGACATGAAGGCCTGCCAGGAAGACGACGTACGGCTGCTCTGCTACCTCACCCCTTCCATTTACACGGAGGTAAGACGCCCGTCAGGCGCCAGGAACCCCCAGTTGAGACGCGCGGGGCATCTCCTCACCTTCCTGCGGGCAGTCTCGGGGCTGAGCTGGTTTGCTTCTGAGCCTCAGGTCTGTTGGACTGCAGCAGAGAAGCCACAAAGCCCAGAAAAAGCTCTGTCAGGCTGAGCACAACCCAGTCTCCATCCACCCCCAGCCCAGCTTAATGGGGGATCGGCGTTGCGCCGTGGAGATCGATGTTCAGCTGTCGTCCCGCCTGCTTACGGCCCCCGTTAAAGCCTGATGCGCTCTGGGGATGGCGAAGTACTAACCTCACTGTCCCGGCTTCATCTCATGCACGTGCTTGGCTCCCGGCAACGGCGTTATCAGCGCTTTCTGGTTAACGAGGTTTTGCCCTCTGCTGCTTTTCTTCTGGAGAGCAGCAGGTGAAGGCTCCGAGGAGACGTGTCAAAGTCTGGGAGAAGCAGCGCTCGGAACAAGTTCTGCTGGCTGCCCCGAAGCCTTGGGTTTAACGAAAGGTTTTATTGCTTTCGGCACTCGGTGCTGAGATGGAGCCAGCTGGACTTTAGCAGAGAGCACATTTGGAACGGGGAGCCAGGCATCCGCACCAGATAGGTCACGGCTCGGTCCCAGTTCGCGCAGCCCGCCTGGGTTTTGGACGGAGCTGCTGTTACCTCCCCGCAGCCGCGATGCCGTCGAGCGCTCTCGCAGCCCAGTGCGTGCTGCAGCCTTTTTATTTCAAATAGTTGCAGGGTGGAGACTGCTTCTTCCAACAAGCATCCCGCGATCGGACGGCTTCGGGGAGCGGAGAGAGGGAGGGTAACAGCGCGCGCTCTGAATAGACGGAGGGGTCACAGTTCTGCCTGTGCTTTCTCATTCCCTGGGAGGAATGAGCTGGCCCCGCTCCTCCCTCAAAAAAAAATCAGCAGGAGCATCTGCCGAGCGTTGAGGCCGTCCAGCCCCGTTCCTCACCAGCGCTTCCCGGGGGTTTCTGTGGGGAAAAGGGGGAACAGCATCAGCCTGGGGAGGGGAGGAAAACCTGCACGCTGTACCACCCGGCAGCGCGGTGCGTGCTGCAGGGGCGATTCTGGCGTAGAGCAGCGGCTGGATCACCTCCCTGGTCCTCTGACCCCAAAAGAGAGGGGAAGGGGGGGTCAGGCTGATGCCGCCCCCGTGGGCGTAGCGAGCAGCTCGAGTCAGGCAGAATGTCCCGAGAGCAGCTTGTCTGGACAGCCAGATCCAAACCCTGCAGCCATCGCTTGCTGCCGCCAGTTTTCCTGGCCTTTTGCCCCATGTGTTGATTTTTATGGTTTTTTTTCTTTAGTTCTTTGCAGTGCTGCGTAACGCGTGAGGCCCTGGAACGTCGAGCAAAGCTAGCCAGGCTAGGGAAAAATGGGGAATTTTAACTAACCGCCCTGGTCTGGCTGATTTCTGCCACCCGCAATCGAAGCGGCTTCGCTCCTCGCGCAGCTCCGCTCGCTCCGGATGGTTGGTGTCAGCCGCATCCGGCAGATGCGCCGGGCACCCGCTCGCAGCAGCTTGCCCGTGCGCTGCCTCGCGACTCTTGTCCCGCTTGAGCGGTGGAATGAACCTGCCCGCTGCAGGCTGCGCACGGAAAGCAGCCTGTCAACCCTCCGGCGTGCTTGCCTGGCTCCTTTTCCCGCTCGGCCGCTTCCCCCGTTCCGTTTAGGAAGCGGTGCTGGTTCTGGTCCAGCCCTCGCTGAGCCGCCGGGTCAGGCAGGGCAGCGCTGCCCCATTGCGAGGAGGAACGTGTGCGCGCGTGTGTGTGTGTCTGAGCTTGAACCGAGGAGGAGTTTTAGCTATGGGGATAGGAGCTTTTGACCGGCCTCTCCCTCCTGTCCTTCCCTGAGCCCTGCCTTGCTTTTTGTACTCTTCCAGTTCCCAGACGAGACCCTACGAAGCGGCGAGCTGCTGAACATGATTGTAGCTGTCATAGACTCATTCCAGGTAAGGAGGGGGGAGCGGGTGTCTGGGGTGGGAGGCAACACGTTCCTGAAGCCGCAGCGCTTGTCTCCTCCGCTCCCAGGAGCTTTCAACCTGAAATGACCCGTCGGCGGGGGACGCGGGGCAGCGCTTCGCTTGTTTAATCCTCCTCACCCCCATTCTTGAGTTG